CTGAGACTAAGAAGTCGGGTTTCCTAAGTATCAGTTTAACACTCCTTTGGATAACCCAGTTGTCCCTCTGGTCTATGAGCAACACTGAACTATCTCCAATTAGATATGCTTTGTTCAACTCAAAGACTTCAAGCTGCAACATGCAGTCAGAAAGACAGCAGTAGCTTGTAAAAATGCTGAGTCTTAAATGGAAAACTGGGGGAAAGTATGTGTCATAGAAGATAGTTAAAGGGTTAATATCCTCCATTTGTAAGACAGCATCGTGTCCATTTGACTTATATTTATTGAGAACTTACTAGCTGCTTGACTGTGGTAGATACTAAGAATACCATGGTAAGTAAAAACAGCATGGTTTTTACTTGCATGGGATTTGCCACCTAGTAGGCAGGGACAGACTCATCAGAAATCATTGTTGGGAAAGGCAGTCACATGCAGCTTCCTGCCTCCTGCCTAGAAGGGTTGCCCTGGGCCTGGAACACTTCCTTACGAGGAGAGAAAAAGCCCTACAGCCTGTACCAGCCATACTTCTCTGCTTTGGAACATCTTCCCCTGCTCCAGGTTTGATGTGCGCTTTTTGGTTCCGCTTGAGCATGTGGCTCATCGGCCCTTAGGCATGTCCCCAACTTTTTGAATTTCAAACCCACAGGGGTTTGGGTGGGTGTGCTTCACCTGCAGCAGAAAAGGGGTTCAAGCACCGTCTCCCTGTCTTACTCTGGGCTGTGGGGTGAGACCCGCTGGCCACAGGGGATGGATGCTGGCTGCTGAAGCTGCTCTTGCTCTGTCTCTTTACGGGGGGAAGTGTTGTCCCATCCAGAGCCTGTGTAAGTTCTTTCTTGGCAACCCTGACACCTGCAAACCATGCAGTGGGTTGACACCCTGGTACTGCTGCTCCTGGTGGGAGGCAACAGGTATCACTTGCTCCACAACTGCCGTAATGAAACCATAGCTAAAAGGAAGAAAAGCCCACTGAGGGAGCATGTAACTCAAGGGTGGCTGTGACTGAGCTGAGAATGAAAGTATAAACCAGAGTCAGTTAGGGAAAAGTAAAAGAAGAGGCAGACACCACCCTGTCCCTTAGGCAAAGGCAAAGGAAATGATGTGCAACTGGCCTATGGCAGGAGGAAATATATTTGAAAAACTGGAGACTTCCCTGGTGGGCCAATGGCTAAGACTCTATATTCCCAATGCAGGGGGCCCAGGTTCAATCCCTGGGCAGGGAACTAGATCCCACATGCCACAACTAAACGTTTGTACACTGCAACTAAAGATCCCGTATGCCACAACTAAGACCTGGTACAGCCAAATCAACAAATTTAAAAAACTGAAAGAAAGCTGGCGTGCCCTCGGGGCATAAAGTAAGAAGAAGGATGAGACTAAAAGAGGCAGAGAAAGGAAGGTTGGGACCAGACAGAGCAGGACCTTCTAGGTTATACTGAGGATTTGAGTCTGTATCGGTTGAGAAATGGATAGCACAGAATTGTCTGTTAAGGTCAGGGCTGACACAGTGAGATTTGTCTTTTAGAAAGAGGAGGGTGGTAACAATGGGAAAATGGATCAGAAAGGAAGAAAGTGAGACCACTGCTCATGTCCAGGAGAGAGACAATGGTAGCTTAGACCAGTGGTTCTCAAATTGAGAAATTTAACCCCTCAGAAAACACTTGGCAATGTCTAAAGACATTTTTGGTTGTTCCACTATGTGTGGAGGGATGTCACTGGCATTTAGCAGGTAAAGATCAGGGATGTTACTAAATCATGATACAGAGAGCTGCCCCCACAACAAAGGATTATTTGGCCTGAAATACAAATACAGCCAAAGACCGGGAAACCCTTGCTCAGACTGTGGTGGTGGTGAAGATAAGAGTACATATTGCAGAGATAATTAAAAGGTTAATATCCACAGTAATTAGTGGCTGATTATGAGGAATGAGGGGAAGATCATCTAAGATAACCCTCAGGTTGCTGGCTTGCCCAAGTGGATAAGTGGGAGTGGCTTCCACTGAAATGAGAAAATCTTGGGGAGGTGATGATCTGGTGGGAGAAGATAAGGAATTCAGCTTGAAGCCTCATAAACTGAGATGCCTTTTAAGACATTCAAAGAAGTCAAAAGCCAGTTCTCTAAGTCTACAGCTCAAGGGGGGAATCCTGAGCAGGAGACATGTATTGGAGGGGCTTTTGTGAATAGAAGAGAAGTTGTGGGCATGGATGAGATTACCTAGGAAGAGAGTACAGAGTGAGGAGAAAAGAGGGCCCAGGACTACTTGTTGAGAAACTCCTGGGAGAAGAGCACAAACTAGCAAAAAGCTTCTAGGAGGTGGAAAGAAAACCAGGGCATGTCACATCCCAGAAGCTTCAAAAAGGCCTGTTTCCCCCACAGCTTCTCCAACATGGAGTATCATAGATCTTTTTTGGTGCTGTTGTTATATTCATTTGTTTGTTGTATTTTTAGATTTCATATACAAGTGATATCAAACAGTACTTTGTTTCTCTCTGTCTTATTTCACTAACCACATTGCCCTCCAAGTGCATCCATGTTGTTGCAAATGGAAAAATTTTGTTCTTTTTATGGGTAATATCATACACACACACATACACATCACAGACAGTTTCCTTAACCATTCACGTGCTGATGGACACCGAGGTAGCTTCCATATCTTGGTTATTATAAATAGTGCTGCTCTGAACATTGGGGTGCATGTATCTTTTCCAACTTAGGGGAACTGCTGGATCTTATGGTAGCTTTATTTTTAGTTTTTTTGAAGAACCTCCATACTGTTTTCCACAGTAGCTGTACCAGTTTACATTCCTATCAACAATGTATGAGGGTTCCCCTTTCGCCACATCCTCACCAACATTTGTTCTTGTATTCTTTTTGACAATAGTCATTCACAGATAGTTTTAGCTTTGCTACTGCTCAGTTTAAAAAGTCTAATTTAAAGATATCAAAGTTTTAGGCCCAGGACACTCTTCTCAGCTGCTGGGAAACCCTAGGGGATATTAATTAAGGTCAGCTATTCATCCCTTCGAGCCAGTGTTGACCCCAGGTCTAGGTGCAGCATCAGCAGCTGCTTGTGGATTTATGACCCCCTAGATGCAGAGTCCTTCATCTTTCAGTCCTAAGCCTTGTGTTTCATTGACACACAGCGTTCAATGAAAAGAAGCCTTGCAAATCAGCAAGTATTTACTGAATGCCCCACTCTAGACTCTGTACAAATCCTGTTCAACAGTCCATGACCATCAGACTTAGGGTAAATGACTGGTGCCCTTGCATGCTTGTGTGTGTTTGTGCACCCACATACACACACCCAGCTTGGGACCCTCCTCTTTGGGCTCAAAGGTCTCAAAAAGCAGGGGTACTGTTCTCTGAAGGCCCTTTCGTCTCATGAAGGGTTTGGCCCTACCTGCACAGGACAGAACACTAGTGGTGCACAGGACCTAGCTCCCAAGGACATAGTCGAGGTCTCAGCAATTCCTTTCAAAAATTCAGGAGCCACAAAGAGGGATGACTCAACAGAAACCTGCTTATGCATCTTGCTGGGATCATTCCAAGAGTCCCGCAGGGTCACTCAGAGGGGCCACAAGGCTACCTACTGGTGCATTAAAAACAGACTCCTGGAGCATGTGAATGGCTGCATTTTGGTCACTTTTCCTATTTGGCCTCTTCCAAGAAATGCTTGGACTGAATTTTGGCCTATAAAATGCAGTGAGGGACAGCATTGCTCAGTAACGAGTAAGAATGTCCCTGGGCATAGTGAAGGCAGTTCTGCTAAACTATCTGAGAGGGAAAGACTCTGTATTACTTTGCCCTCCTGCTCCAAGTGACCCAGGGACCAGTCTGCTTACTTGTCTCACCCCCACCATTACAGGTGTTTACAGGTGTCCTCGACGTCACGGAAAGATGGAGCACCAGTGCACACCCACAGAGTGCCTAGTCTCTGCCCTGCCCTGACCCCACTTCCCCTCCACTAAGGCTTGGGGTAACAGTGGAGGAAAGCAACAGTTAAGTCAAAAGGCTCTTGGCCTTGACATCAAAGAGGGCAGCAGTTAGAAGACATCACCCCAGCCCCACTTTTCCCAGGTAGGCCCGGTCGGGATCGCTAGTGAAGAGCCAAGGCCCCGCTGCGGTTCCCAAACCTCCCCGCCCCCACTCCGCATGACGGTGAACTAGAAGAGGGAAGGTGAAGAGGTGCTTGGCCAGGACCAGGGGGCGGGCCCAGGACACGGAAGCCCCGCCCTGCCCCCGCCTCCGCCCCGCCCCCGCAGGAGCCCCTGGAGCTCTGGCTGCCGGCGGGCACTGCGGCAGCGCCAGTCGCCTTCCTCCGGTCGTCTGCGCACAGGTGAGGACTGGACCCCGCGTCTGAGCCGCTGCAGAAGGAGTGGGAAGCTTCGTGGGGCTGAAAATCTGGGAGGGAAGGAAACGGAATCGAATTCCTCAGGGGGCCGGAGGGAGGGACATTAAGTAAGAATGTCCCTGGGCATAGTGAAGGCAGTTCTGCTAAACTATCTGAGAGGGAAAGACTCTGTATTACTTTGCCCTCCTGCTCCAAGTGACCCAGGGACCAGTCTGCTTACTTGTCTCACCCCCACCATTACAGGTGTTTACAGGTGTCCTCGACGTCACGGAAAGATGGAGCACCAGTGCACACCCACAGAGTGCCTAGTCTCTGCCCTGCCCTGACCCCACTTCCCCTCCACTAAGGCTTGGGGTAACAGTGGAGGAAAGCAACAGTTAAGTCAAAAGGCTCTTGGCCTTGACATCAAAGAGGGCAGCAGTTAGAAGACATCACCCCAGCCCCACTTTTCCCAGGTAGGCCCGGTCGGGATCGCTAGTGAAGAGCCAAGGCCCCGCTGCGGTTCCCAAACCTCCCTGCCCCCACTCCGCATGACGGTGAACTAGAAGAGGGAAGGTGAAGAGGTGCTTGGCCAGGACCAGGGGGCGGGCCCAGGACACGGAAGCCCCGCCCTGCCCCCGCCTCCGCCCCGCCCCCTCAGGAGCCCCTGGAGCTCTGGCTGCCGGCGGGCACTGCGGCAGCGCCAGTCGCCTTCCTCCGGTCGTCTGCGCACAGGTGAGGACTGGACCCCGCGTCTGAGCCGCTGCAGAAGGAGTGGGAAGCTTCGTGGGGCTGAAAATCTGGGAGGGAAGGAAACGGAATCGAATTCCTCAGGGGGCCGGAGGGAGGGACATTAGTACGCGGGCCCCACGTCCTCGGGCCGTGGGGAGGTGATCCATGCGGCCCCCGGAGAGGTGGACGCGTCTTTAACCGAGCGCTTCTTCGGGTCCAGAGGAGCGCCGGGAGCTTGGATGCCTTGACTCTGTGGGGATTCAGTCCAGAGTGGGGCCTCCTAGATCCTGGGGCGCTGGATGCTGGGGGCCCGACATCCTCTTGCAATGGTCGCCAGTCAGCAGCGACAGATACTCGTCCTGGATCTTGAAAGAGCGACCTCGGGCTCGCGAGCCGCGAACACACAAAGAAACCCCCCTTGCTGGCGTGCTTTGAGAAAAAAGCCCTGCCTCAGACTGTGAATGTTGATAATAGGTTGGAAGATTTGTTCTGCCCCAGGAGGTGTGTACAGGTGGGAAAATCTGCAGGAGAAGCTTGACTTCTTCGAAAATTTTTTGAATTTAAAATTTCAGCAAGTCTGTTCTTCCTTTTTGCATGGGGGGAGGTGGGGGTTGGCGAGAGATGACTCTAGAATATAAGCCCAGCTTTGGGTCTGCCTGGGAAGTTCTAGGTTCACCTGGCCCCCAGCAGGCTTTCCTTTGGAAGAAGTGAAGTGGGTTTGTGCTTTAACGCGGTGCAAGTTTTCGGAACTTCTTAAGTCAGGGACCAAGTTCGCGCGGTCATTCTGTGTTCTCTCACCTGCAGCTGGAAGGAGAGATGTTCACGGTGCTGACCCGCCAACCTTGTGAGCAAGCAGGTCGGTATCACTCAGCAGGCAGCGAGTATGATTCTGTCACATCACCCAAGGATCGCAGCTTCAGCCCGCAGGCTCTTTCATCCACGTCCCCAGCAAATGACGGTTTAACCTCTTTGGTGGGAGACTTAGTCTTCACCAGGCTTTCGCCACCCGCATAAAGTAATTCTTTTCCTCAAAGCCACACAAAACAAGGACTAGCATGCTTGTTTCGCTTAAACGGTTTTTCCGGTTTGCATAATCCATTAATTTGGCCCTTGTGGTTTCCCTTACCCAGCTGTGTGTAAGGTCTGCTTTAGAATATTGTTGATTTTGTGATGAACTGTAAAGTACTTGGAGCTTGTCTCTCTTTCCATCCAAGTTGCTGCTGGCCTGGTGCCTACAGCATCCCTTCCCCCTCCCCTCTTCCCTCCCCTCTTCCCTCTCCTCTTCCCTCCCCTCCCTCCGCCCCACCCCACCCCCATGGTCAGTGTTGTTACCACCTTTTACTGCAGGCACATGCGTAGAATTTGCACACACACACACACACACACACACACACACACACACACACACTTCTGAGCTTGTCCTGCCTGCCTGCCTGCCTGCCTGCCTGCCTGCCTGCCTGCCTCTGGAGCACATTTTGCAGTTGCTCTGTGTGGAAGCCTAGAAGGGTCTGGCCTCTCCACTGTTGGGAGTCACCTGGTAATTACAGTGTTCGTCCAGCCCTAATGACAGCACAGCTCTAGGCTGCAGTTCCCTAAATGAATGAGACCTGGTCTAGTCCATTTTGGTCTACGACAGGCTTTTCTGCTAGAGCAAGGCTTTGCTTAAAGTAATCACAGCTTTTTACCTGAAAACTGCTGAAGCACAGAGGACTTAGGAGGCTAGGCTCGTGGCTGTGGTCAGGAGACTGCTTACGTATCACCCCCAGTTCCACCCCATGGACAGATGTTCTTTAGTGGTACTCCTACACTGGTATTCAAAACACTTTGATAGTTTAACACATATACTGTAACATCACACATGCAGACTAACTTGTTACATTCCTTCCAAAGGACAAGTTTAACTTGGCAGATTAAATGTCTACCTTGTCTTGTATATAACTGACCTGGCATGTGCACTGTTTAACAGTTGATGCAAAAGTTTGCCTCTGTGGATAAACCGGTTTCTGTCTGGGTCATACCCTTTGATCTGGAATCACAGAAAAGTGAGGCAAGACCCCTCCAGAGGCTCTGAAGGCTAACACCACAGTGGCTGGCCCCCCTCCAGCTGCTATGACAAACGATTCCGCAGTGAGTAACCTGGTGTACAAGTCGTTTAACACACTTGGGACCAGTTCTGTGGAACAGATTCCCAGAAGTGGGATTATGAGGCAGATAGTATACACATTTGCAATTTTGATACATTTTGACAAATTCCCCTCCAGTTCACTCCCAGTGACAAGGTAGGAGAATTAAGGCACCTTGGACATCAGGATGTGTCTGTGGCAGTATTTATACTGCAGGGAAATCAGGTGAGGTAAGTTAAGAGTTGGCTCTTCTGAGATATTGAGATCCACTGCATGACTGACCTCCCCAAGTAATGAGCACTGTGATGTGACTGGATATTGAGGTTGAATCTGACTCTATATGGTATTAAATACATGCTCTTTTTTTTCTTCCAAGAAAATATCTCCTAGAAATAATGGAGTAGTAAAGAATAGCTTATGATGATCTAAAAGTAGATGTTCCAGAATAGGGCAGGTTCTACCCCATTGCTGTTCAATAGAACTTTCTGTGATGGTAGAGATGTTCTGTAATTACACTGTCCAATATGGTAGCCACTTTTGATTATTTAACACTTAGAAAATGGCTAGTGCAACTGAGAAACTGTACTTTTAAATTTTATTTACTTTTAATTAATTTAAATATTCAATTGGTGAGACATATTTGGATTCTCTGAATTCAGTGATCTTCTTATTATGCTAGTGTTTATCATAGTTCAGCCATTTGAGTGTCACCACTTATGTTTATGCTGTAATAGTTCTAACAAGACTATTATTTAGTCAATATTTTACTCTAATGTCTTTTTTTCTTTAAAAAAATTAGGTACAAGTTATATATAGTGATAGGTAGTGGTGGTGGTGGTGGTGGTGTAGTCGCTCAGTTGTGTCCTACTCTTTGCGACCACATGGACTGTAGTCTACCAAGCTCCTTTGTCCAAGGGATTTCCCAGGCAAGAATACTGGAGTGGGTTGTCATTTCCTTCTCCAAGTGATCTTGCGACCCAGGGATCGAACTCCGGTCTCCTAGACTGCAGGTGGATTCTTTATGCTGGTAAATGCAGGAGACCCCAGTTCGATTCCTGGGTCAGGAAGACCCCCTGGAGAAGGGGTAGGCTACCCACTCCAGTATTCTTGGGCTTCCCTGGCTCAGACGGTAAGGAAGCTGCCTGCAATGTGGGAGACCTGGGTCTGACACGACTGAGCAACTTTCACTGCTTTAATATATAGTGAAATGGAGAGATCTTAAGTTGTGTCCCTAAATCTGGTATTCTTGCCTTCTGGAAGGATTATGTTTTTAGAAAATGGACAATTTATAAGAATATTTTTTAAGGGAAATTGTATCTAAAGGAGCTGGTTTGCTGTGATTTTTAGTTTTTTTCCAAAGGATTTTGGAAAATTTGATAAATTTTGAAAAATGTACAAACTCATATACCCCACAATCCTATTTAGATATAAGAGCATTTTCATTTCTCTAGAAATGCCAAAACCCTGCCCCAAACCCCTGTGCCATCACTGTTCTGATTTCTATCACCCACCTGTTTTAGAGCATAACATAAATGGGGTCATTTCAAAAAGCTTCTTTCCTTCTTTTCTTTTTTTTTAAATAAATATATTTGCTACTTTATTTATTAAATTTTCATTAGCCCACACTGGTACGTTAAGACCCAAGTAAATATTTGCTCACAATCATCTACTTAGGAAATATTAGCTTAAATTTAGTAAGTAAAAATAGTCCATTATGATACATTGTATATTATCATACAATGCATATAATTATATAATTATATTTACTTAGAGGCTATATTTAGTTTAAGACAACTCATATGCTACATTTTTTTTGTTTTGCATTTACATGTTATAATTAAAATATAAAATATAAATACCAGAGATTACATGACCCCTTTGGGAGGGAACATGTGGACTGGGGTCTAGTTACTCTTCATTTGTAAAGATGTCTATGTCTTTACTATAGACACAGGGAAAATGACTGAGGTTGAATTCTTACTGGACACCCACACATCTTAGGAATTCAGACACATTACCATTTGTTTGACAATGTCACCATGTACTAAACTTTATAATCATTGATTGTATCTGAAATACAATAGGAATTTCTTCTTATTTATCTGAGATTATTTTTTAATGAAATATTGTATCACCTGCCTTAATAGAAAACTCATAATTTTCAAATATACATTGAAATAAATGTTATTGGAAATCATCTCAACCAGTAATATGCATAACACACTTTGGGAAATACCAGAGAGCTAGACCATGCACACCCTCCTTGCAAACGCTGTTTTAGTCCACTCTTTGGAGGAAAGATACTCAAATGGGTATCTGAGCCCAGTTGTAGTTCTAAATGTTTGGGTCTCAAAAAAGCCAGAGGAAGTGACTTATGCATGCAGCTAAGTACCCAATTAAGCACCAAATTCACAGATTCTACGAAGAAGGGCAGAGCCCTGTTCCTGATTCCCCCTCATGTGTCTTCTGGGCTTCCTCATTTTAGGCCTCAAGGTCCTCTCCCGAACTCCAGCCATCATCGCCTTGGTGGTCTTGTTTTTGAGCATTGTGGTGTTTATGGCTATCACACTCATCCAGACACACCAGAAAGAGGTCCTCTTTCCAGGACCAAAGGTAGGTGTGAAGGGGTTGGCACTGAAGGGAAGAAATGGGCTCTGGTATCAATGACTCTCAAGCTATGAGTTAGAAGAGAAGAAAATTCTTGCCCTTCCTCACCTCCAGCTGGAGCCAGGGAAAGGTGGGGTAAGACCCAAGGAGAAAGACTGGACATGCTAGGTTTGTGGTGTTTGAGGTGACAGACTGGTAGTGGTGACACCTTCTCCTGGGATGATGTGGTCTTGCTTTGACTCCTGACTGCTGGAACCAAAGCAGACTTTGTTGCCAACTTCCCTGGTGGCTCAGACGGTAAAGCATCTACCTGCAATGCAGGAGACCTGGGTTTGATCCCTGGGTCAGGAAGATCTCCTGGAGAAGGAAATGGCAACCCACTCCAGTACTCTTGCCTAGAAAATCCCATGGATGGAGGAGCATGGTGTCCCTGGGGTCGCAAAGAGTTGGGCACGACTGAGCGACTTCACCTTCACTTTCACCAAAGATTTACCAGCTTGTCAGTCTCCCCAGATGCCCCAACCTTGCTCATGAGCAGAGACCAGGAGACCCAGGCTCTTCTTCTGGCCTAGCCTGGGTAAACAAAATCAAGGACCTGAAAAGTCTCCTTGATCTGTGCTGTGCTACCTCTCTTGAGTCTAGAAGTATGCCATGATCCCTCTGACTCCTCCCCCCACCAAAATTACTCCAGACCTCATGCTAAGTTCCAGAGACCCCTGTCAGCCTTGACAAAACCATCCCCCAATGGATGGACTCTGGTAGACAGAATTGTACGCACCCTCTGCCTTTGTAAGGGTGATAGGAGGTGATCCCCTGAGGGAATGTCAAATGAAAGGTGAAGGTAATCAGTGAGCCCTTCAATTATTTTGAGTAGAAGTTAGCCAACTTCCTCTGTAAAGAGCCAGACGGTACATATTTTAGGTTTTGAGAACCATTTATAGTCTCTATTGCATATCTTCTTTTCTTTTTCTCTTCTTATGACTCTTTAAAAAGCTATGAAAACCACTCTTAGATGGAGGGCCACAGGAACCATGTTATTTGAATCTCATTTAGTATTTATCTTTGACCTTGGGTCTTTTCTATATCTTCCTGCTGTTAGGGACTGTTAATAGGCTATATTTGATATAGAGGTTTTTAAAAGATAAAAAGAACAGTTTTTGCCTTGACTCTGTGGTTGAGTTTGATCTACCATCCAGAGTCCACTTTGCTAAAGGAGTAGAGGAAAATCTGTTTCTTTCTGTCTGCCTGCCTTTAAATTAATTAATTAAATTTTTTTCTGGCTGCAAAAAGAAGCTTGTGGGATCTTACTTCCCCAACTAGGGATCCAGCCCAGGGGCCCAGCAGTAAGAATGCCGAGTCCTAACCACTGGACTGCCAGAGAATTTCCTAAAATCTTTTCGAGATAATGGAATTTTGTTCTTTTATACTTTACTTAAGAATCTCAGCCTCCCATGAATAACATGAATAAAAAAGAAAAATAAAAGCCTCATGCAGCTGTCCAGTGGTGAGAGGAAAACAAATTATCTGGCTGTCCAAAGACATTAGCTAAGGCCTAGAGAAGCTGTTTTCCCAAGCTCCAGGCACTGCCTTCCTCTATAAACTGTATAAAATCAGGAGTGCAACTAGAGGAAATACCATCTCCTTACTCTTTGTAAATTGCCAGTGAGTTGAGTGAGCATTTTTCACTGAATAATCTCACTGAAATCTTGTGCCAGCTACGGAAGATGGACAAGCCCTGTCACCACCATTTTGCAAGTGAGGAAACAAAGGCCTGCTCAGTGGATGGTGGGACCAGAACCTGAAACCTGAACATTCCTCTACCCACTGCCAGGGCTCTCTTCATTTCCTTCCAACTGTTCCTTGATCCTAAGTTCTAAATAGGGAGCCCAGGAGGAGATACTGGCCTCTGATAGGAAAACATGTCCTCCTTTGCACAGGAGGGGAGGAGGGGAGGACGGGCACAGAGACAGGAAGGTGCTGAATCGCAGGAGAGACTTGGAGGGCAAGTCCATTCTTAGACCTTAGTACCACCCTGTGCATGCATGCTCAGCCGCTTCAGTCGTGTCTGACTCTGCGGCCCTATGGGCCATACCCCGCCAGGCTCCTATGTCTGTGGGATTTCCCAGGCAAGAATACTGGTGAGGGGTTCCATTTCCTCCTTCAGGGGATCTTCCCAACCCAGAGATCAAACCTACGTCTCTTACATCTCCTGCACTGGCAGGCAGGTTCTTTACCACTAGCGCCACCTGGGAAGCCCAGTTCCGCCCTTAGACCCCATAAATCAAAGGAACCGGCTCTAGCTGCACTCCAGGCACACCTCTCCATGGGACAAGGGAATGTGCCCACCAAGAGCCATGCTTCCCCTTCTAGAACATGCTGGGGACCCCAGAATCCAGGGTCTGTGTGGGCCTTCCCCTGAGAGCAGACCTCACACTGACCTGAGGGGTGGCAAAGGGCAGCAGCTTGCAGGGGGAGTAGACAGAGCATGGGTATGGTCTATAGTCTGAGCTAGCCCACCTACTACAGTCAGCATCCAGTGCATGAGGCTGTTCACACTGTGGATTTGCCTGTGGATGAGAAGAAGACAGGCGGTGGGGCAGGACAGGGCAGAAGTCTTCCTTTGTACAAAAGGGGCTCTTGGGCCCTTCAAATGTGAGGGATGGGCTGGTTAAGACAGTTGTTTGGGGAGATGAGAGGTAAGTTCAAACTGGAGGGACATGGAGGAATTAGAAGAACTGAAGAGTAAACTGAGGAGGGAAAAGTGGGACCAGAGCAGTGTGGAGGTGCTGTGGAAGGAGACCACACATGTTTAGTTCCACTGTGTCAGAGCGGTTTCCCTAGTCAAAGATGCCTGTGCAAGATGGTCATCTGGGGGTGACCCCAGGAAGCACTGGGCGGGGGGTGGGGTGGGGGGGTGGAAGTGAGACAGAAGGGAAGGCAGTCAATGGCGGGGCTGATACCCAGCAGGTTACCACTGTGGGCAGCTGGGAACCAGTGTGGAACTCACCTCAGGGATGAAATCTATCATGGGCATACAGAACACCTGCCTCATCTGAGTCCAGGACGTATTTACACACCAGCTTCCATTTGTCATCGGTTGAGGGCTGCTCCCTGGGAGACATAAGCTCTCTAGTATTTCTGGCATATTGTGAGCTCAGGTAGGCTAGGCCAATGGAGACAGCCTTCAGGCAGGTAGAAAGTACATAACTGGACATCACAGGGGTGAGGTCTGAGAGCTTGTGGGTGGGGAACCCTTAGTGACCGTCACCCCGTAGGTAGATTATTTTCATTCCCACTTTGAAAACAAGAAAACAGAGGAACAGAAAGGACAGATAGCTTCCTGTGATTACACAGATTAGAAGTAACATAATTGGCATAGAAGGAAGAAAAAAGCAGAGAACAGTGGCCTAAGGCAAGAGTTTGGAAGGATCGGTCTGTATATCCTCATTAGCAGACACAGTTCAGAGAGAGGATTTTTAATTTCTTCATCCCCAGCTATAGAAGAATGAGTTCTATGACATTGGAATATTGGCTCAGGGGCTCATCCTGTTTCACTGAGAGAGTTAGGTGTGAGAAAAGACAGATGTTGTGGGCCAGCTGAAGTGGAGTGGAATGACAGCTTGGAAGGGGGCCCTTCACATGCAGCTTTTCTCAGGCTGTCCAGACACCTGTCCTTCTGTTGTGCAATGTGTGCTGGGGGTGGGAAGGGCAGTGTGGAAGTGGAGGCAGTGAATATTAAAAAAAATGAAAAAATATATAAATTTTTCACTGTCTGTGTTCTCATGCCTTGCCTTATCTTGTCTTTGTATGGAGCTGGTGGTTCTGAGGGGCCAGCTCCATGGTGGTCTGCCTATATAGGGAGCCCTGGAATGTTCTTCAAGACATGAGAGGTCAAGATTTCTAGCTATTAAATCCAATGTTGGCCCACCTGACCTTGTTTTATCTGAGTGTTCTATTAAGTTCAGTTCAGTCGCTCAGTCGTGTCCAACTCTTTGCGACCCCATGGACTGAGGCACACCAGGCCTCCCTTTCCATCACCAACTCCCAGATTTTACTCAAACTCATGTCCATTGAATCAGTGATGCCATCTAACCATCTCATCTTCTGTCATTCCCTTCTCCTCCTGCCCTCAATCTTTCCCAGCATCAGGGTCTTTTCAAATGAGTTAGCTCTTTGCATCAGGTGGCCAAAGTATTAGAGTTTCAGCTTCAACATCAGTCCTTCCAATGAACACTCAGGACTGATCTCATAGAGTGGATCTAAAACTTAGGCAGCAATAGAAATATCCCCAGTCCCTTTTTCACTGTTACTGGTTTGACCTGCTCTATCAGCTTGAGGAATACACATGACAACATTGCCTTTGTTTTTCACCTACCCTGCCACTTTATTATCATTAAGTCTGATATCTTCCTCTTGAGGTTTTACCTTCCCAACCCCCTCACAGTTGCTTGGAAGCCCTGAAGCCTCTCAATCCCATCTGATCAATATCCCAGTGCCACTGCCACTGCCGCTTGCACCCACATGGCGTCACTGGTGAAGAAGGGCATGCAGAGTCCCAGGTTTCAGGGACACTGCTTTTCTGCCATGACCTGCTCAGGTCACATTAGAGCCCAGGTTGGGTCACACAACTCTCCAAAGCACAACAACTGGACCGGGCTGTGTTAAAACCATTTCCTTCTAACCCTCATCCATTCTCAGTCATCAGCCTGATTATCAGGTACCCTGTGGCCCACCCGGGTTTACCTCTTGGAAAACAAGAGTTGGGTAATTGGTTTATTCCTTTCTAGAAAGCCCTGGCTCCTTATTCACATTGGTCATTCTCCTCTCCACCCAGACCTGCATACCACTTAACTAAGAGTTTGCTTTCAAGGGTCTTTTGTCTGAACAAAGTCTGCCATACCATACCAGGCACTTTCTTACTAATCAGTCACCATGTTAAGACTTGTTTTTCTTCAACAAATATCATCTATTAATGCATCTATATGGAATCCAGAAAGATGGTGCTGATGAACCTATTTGCAGAGCAGCAAATAGACACAGACATAGACAGCAGATTTGTGAACAGAGTGGGAAGGAGAGGGTAGCATGGAAACATAACTATCATGTATAAAATAGATATCCAGTGGGAACTTGCTGTATGACTCAGGGAATTAAAACTGGGGCTCTGTGACAACCTAGAGAGGCAGGATGGGGTGGGAGGTGGGAAGGAGGTTCAAGAGGGATAGGACATATATATACCTATGGGTGATTCATGCTGACGTATGGCAGAAACCAATACAATATTGTAAAGCAATTATCCTTCAATGAAAAATACATTTTAAAAAAGACTTGTTTTTCTTGGAACTCAGTGAAAGTATAGGGGCTATGAGTACAGGTTTGAGAGTCAGACCCCAGCTTGATCCCAAGTCTGTGACCTTGGCTAATTTTACCTCTGTGAGCCTCAGTTTTCCCATCTGTCAAGTGGAGAGGATGATAACACCTGCCTTATAAATGCAACATTAAGGCCCTTTCTGTAATGCCTGGCATATTATAAGGGTTCAGCAAATGTTCATTACTATCCCTATTCTTATTATTATAGTAAGAGTAATGATGATGATGATAAACACATCTAAGAAAGCTGATCATGTGATCTTTGATTCTGCTTTTCCTAGACGCTCACACAGTCCATAACCATGGGTTAATATGGAAGACTGTTTCTTTTCAGTTGACCCACTGAGTGTGTCTTCAGTTCTGCATCAGGCCATGTGTTTTTTTCTGACAATGCATTAAACAGAGGGTGCCTTGCTGCTTTTCACCCAAACATCACCCACTTCATTGAACTGAATGAAATTCATTCTCCTCTTATACCTTCCTCCATGGAACCACATTGAGTTGCACTGATCTAGGCAAATGAACTCTGAAAACTGGTTAAAGACCAATTTTTCCACTTTTGAAAATGCCAGTGAAAGATGGTGGGGTGGGGATGGATTGTGTTAGTGAGAAGTAGCCCTGGGCCTGGAGGCTGCCCCTGTCAGTACATCAGCAGGTACCCAAGGGGCCGCCATTTCTCCTGCAAATCTCAGAGCAAAGTCTCTGGCTGCACCCACTGTGGTGAAAACTAAATCCCATTTTTCTGGAGTTACAAATGAAAGTGAACATTCTTCCTTCCTGATCATCGCCCACCAACAACAAGAAGCATTCATCAAGAAGAGGAAGAAAAAAGAAGAGGGAAGAAAAAACAGGATAGCACCCGGAGGAGTCGCCGCCTCATCATCCCCCCCCTCTTATCAGTACCTGGCCTGGAGGGGCCGGTGGAGGGGTAGTGAGCAGGCTGGTAGCAGAGGGAAGGAAAGAAAGCACTGACACGGAGGCTCAGACCTCTGGAGTGCCTGATTTCCTTCAGTTTCAACCTGTGCTTTAATCTCATGGGGAGCCTCTGCCTGGAACAGATTGTGAACAATGCCTCCCTTGTTCGCCATAGAGGGGTGTCATGTCAAGATCCCAAACAACACACGTCATCAGACTGAACAGCCAGGTTGAAGAGGCTGTTCAAGTTCAAATACCAGTGTACACAGCGTGTTCTAAATCTTAATAGAATGGAGGAGCTGGAGTAACACTTTTTTATTTGCTCCTATTTCAAATGAAGCAAGTGTTCATGGCAGAAAGTTTAGAATCAGGGGATTGGATAAATGAATTACTGTACGTCTCACAGTCAATGTGATGAATGTCTTAAAAATCACGATGTCAGTATTTTTACTGATAGGGAGAGATGTTCTTGATATACTTTTCTAGTAAGAAAAGAGCACTAGAGAAGCTTCTGTGTAGTATAATCCTGTGTTGATTTAAAAACATATGAAACATAGGTGTATATGTAGTTTATACACAGAAGACCACTGGAAAAGATATATAACAAGGTGTTAAAACAGTAGTTGGGTTTGAGGAGTGTTATTCACTTTTCTTTCCTCTTTTTCTTGCTTTGTAATTTTATTTATTTTGCTTACTGGTTTTTCTGTGTAGCCTGAATTTATTGAACAGCCAGTAAGCATCAGGCAGATGGTCTCCTACTTACTTCCGAAAGGAAGTTGTCTGGAGATGATGGAATCCAGAGAGCTTAGGTCTCTTACACAATATCGGAAAAGTAGGAATCCATCCGATTTGACCTGCCTCCAGAACCCAACGTCATCTTCCTCTCTGAGACACGCTAGGCTAACTCAGTGGCAGAGGAATTGGGGAAAATCTGCCACCCAGAAGCCTCTGATGCCCTGGACTGACTCCAGCCCAACCAGATACTGACCTAGGTCAGCATAACTCATTCCCGTGCCCGTTGGCTGCTACTGCATGCTCTGTCTTGGGCAGACCTGGTCCAGGGCCTGGGCTGGGCCACACCTTCAAGCAAAGCTCTCTGGTAACTGCCTCAAGCTGGGTGATACGGCTGGCAGGACCCTCCTGTCCATTCTTCCACACACGAGTCACCAAAGTGAGATGATATATCAATAATCTTTTGTATTTTGGTTTTTTCCTCCTTAAGAACTTCCTTCCATGGTTTCCTATTGGCTGCTTACTCCCAGGCGGATAGTCTTGTAAGTTTGGAGGAGAAACAGTAGCAGGTGACTGACTATTCATTTTCCTCCTGAGACCCAGGTGGCTTCTGACCTCCCCCACTTCCACCCTGCAGAATCTGGATGAAGAGAAACCAGGAGATTGTCTTTGCATGCACAATCCTTGGGGTACTCATCTTTAACCTTAGCTGCATTTCGGAATCACCATGGGAGCTTTAAGAACTGTTTGTGCCTGGGACAATTGACAGAGATGCTGATTTAATGAGTCTCGGGTGTAGCCTTGGCATTGGGAGCTTCAAAAGCTCCCTAAGTGATTCCACTGTGAACCAAGGCTGAAAACTGTGGCCTGGAACACCTGACCCATCTCCTCCCCACCCTTCCCTCCAGTCTACAGAAACAAAGTTGGTTTGGAGAAGATAGTTTTTTCTTCTTGGTCAGGTTCTATATAAAGGAAGCAGTGTGGGTTAAACTCTTGGGGTTCTCTGGGAAAAGGGGTCCTCAGAGAGGCTGAGCCTGTAATTAACTGTAATTAACTGTCCATCCCCCTTTTATTCAGTATGGAATTGTACTTGATGCCGGGTCTTCCAGAACCACAATCTACGTGTATCAATGGCCAGCAGAGAAGGCAAATAATACTGGAGTGGTCAGTCAAACCTTCAAATGCAACGTGAAAGGTAAGGCCCAAGGGAAGAAGGGAGTGTCCTAATGTCCTTTGGAGGCCTGCAGGGGTCCTGAAATATTGCCTGGAGGCAAGGAGTGAGCACTGGGCTGGGCGTCAGGGAAATGAGACCTCTTGTTAGCACTGCTGCTCTTCAGTACAGTGGCCTTAGGCTAGCCCCTTCCCTTCTCTGGATCTCAGATTTCTCATCTGTAAAATGGGAGGCGGGGGTGTCAAGAACTGTGAATGGTATGATACGGATGCTGGTGAAAGACCCAAAACTTCTGTCAGAAACAAAGGAGAGTTTATTACTCACACAAATAGCTAGAGCCCAAGGATCAGCATTTTCTTGTCCTGGTTCTCTGGGCCCCAATTTGCACAGGGTGATGTAGAGAGCTCCAGATGGTACCTGCTTGCACAGTGGGTTGTATTACCAAAAAGGAACCCTGAGATTAGAGAACTTGAAAGATTTATAATGGGCGCCTGCCTTGCTCTGGAGGGAAACACTATCCGTATCTTCTTAGCCTGTTTATTATGCAAATATCCCTGAACAGATAGTCCAGAAGGACAGCAGTGAGTGCCTCTGCTCATAAGACATGCAGAAACACAAGAAATTCATGGAAAATTATATTCCAATAGGAAAATTATATTCCAGTTGGCTGTGTATGGTGGGAGGGGAGGGTAAAAAGAGATAGAGACGGACCATCTGTAAAAAACAGCCTTGTGTGGCTCTGTTCCAGTAAAACTTTCTTTATGGACCCTGAAATTTTGAATTTCATATAATTCTCAAATGTCACAAAATATTATTTTAAAAAAATGTTCAACACCATCTAAAAATAATGCACGAATATCTCAGTTCATAGGCTGTATAAAAGAAGGTGGTGAACTGTATATGGCTAGGGAGTTGCCAACTCTGAAACAGAATGTTATCAGTGTCTTTAATGACCCTCCATGCACTTCCTGCTTCCTCCACAATATATCCTGAATGTTGTGTTGACTATTTACTTGTTCTTTTTTATAGTTTTGTCCTTATGCATTTAGTTTTTCCTGGTTTTGGAAACGGAATCAAGTGCATATTTATACAATTGGAAGCAAACATTTATTCTGTAATTTGCTTTGTTCACTACCACTTGGTTTTTAAAATGCATCTGTGTTGCTATGAGTACCTGGTTCATTTTTCCCTGTTGAGGGATATTTGTATTTCCCTGGTTACTAATAAGGTTAAGTATCTTTTTATATATTTATGACTATTTCTGTTTCTGCGAAATGCCTGTTCATGTCTTTTGCTCATTTTTCTACTGAATTGCTTGACATTTTCCTATTGAGTTGTGGAATTCTTTGTCTGTATTCCGAATATGAATGCTTTGCTATATTATTATTATATTGTTGCTAATATCTCTCACAGTTTATGGTTTGTCTTTTTAGTTTTTCGTGATGTCTTTTGACAAATAAAAGTTCTTAATTTTTACGAAGATACAGTTATCAGTCTTCTGCCTTTTCGTTTGCTCTTTTGTATGTTTTATTTAAGAAATCCTTCCCTAACTTGAAGTCATAAAGATATTTTTCTATCAATAGTTTTGAACTTCCCTGGCAGTCCATTGGGGATCACAGGTTTAGGCCATGTGGCACAATCAAAACAAAAAAGTTTTCTAAATTTGCCTTTTACAATTAAGTCTTTAGGCCACATAATCAAGCCCAGTTAGTGAGTGTATATGTATGTGCCACCCTCTTTAGAGCACTCTGATTTTTGACTTGGCCTGGATCTTTCCAACTAGTGTACAGGATAGGTTACAGGGATACCCTCAACCTAGAGGATGAGCTAGACTCTGGGCCAGTCACCCCAAGCAACTTCCTTCATTTCTCTCAATAAGCTGCTCAAATAGAATACCCTCTTGCAGATCATGGTATAGAAAACATTGGGAAGCAGAATTAGCCTTTCCCATAGAGAGACCAGGAGTCGTCTCTGGATAACCAGGGTGCACTCTGACCATCTGCCCTTCCACGGAAGACAGCCAGGAGCTCGCTGATCCCGGGACATAGGTGTCACAGTCAGGGTCTTAAGGAGCAGAGGCACAGACAGAGGCTGGGGTGCAAGGGAGTGCTGAGTGGAAGGGAGGCAGAAAGAGGAGGATTGCACAGAAAGAGAAGTCAGACTGCAACTCAGGCGAGGCAGAGCTCCAGCCAATTAGAGGTGTCCTGCACTGGGTATAAATGGTCCGAANGCACAGACAGAGGCTGGGGTGCAAGGGAGTGCTGAGTGGAAGGGAGGCAGAAAGAGGAGGATTGCACAGAAAGAGAAGTCAGACTGCAACTCAGGCGAGGCAGAGGTCCAGCCAATTAGAGGTGTCCTGCACTGGGTATAAATGGTCCGAAATGACCGGATGGTGATTCCTCCTGTCACTGTCAGTTATTGGATGTTGCCAGCTTGGGAAGAAGGTGTTGACCAAGAGTTTTCTGCAGCTAAAGAAAACCCTGAAGGAACTAACATCTGAACAGTAAGCCTTTATTTGAAGGGGCATCTGTGTGGCACTTCTCTTGGCTCCTCACAACAGGGAACTTTCGTGTCTTCTGAGAACTGCTTGCATCATTACCTGCACTTCACCAGCAGCAGCAACCTTTCTGATACTTCAGCCAGAGATCCCATCTCTGTTCTCCTAACTTATGAGTTATCTCTTCACTGTGAAGCATGAAACAGGATGCTTTTTTAGGAAAGACAGACGCCACTCCAAGCAGAGATGATATTGTAGGACAGTGATTAAGACATCACCCTCATCCCTACTATGAAAGCTCTGGAAACTTATCTGAGCTCTCTGCATCTTGACTCCCTCATCTCTAAAATAAAAAGCATAATAACAGTAATACCCACCCCACAAGAATGATTTGGATTAAATGACATAATATGTATAAAGCAGGTCCATGGGATTTTTCAGGCAAGAATACTGGAGTGGGTTGCCATTTCTTCCTTCAGGGGATTTTCCCAAGAGCTTGGTGGGCTACAGTCCATGAGGTCGCAAAGAGTCAGACACAACTTAGCAACTGAGCACCAGCACATATAAAGCAGGGAGCAAAGACCTGGCATACAGTAGGCACTCAATAATTGTTAGCTATTAATTATGTGGCACCACACTTTAGAATTCCCAGTGGATATTCTTGCTAAGAGGCTGTCCTAACATAGTTGTAAGATCTGCCTCTAGCCCTGGGAGGGCAGTTTAGCCAAGTCAGTCGTGATGGCCTCAGACTGTAGGAAGAGGTGGCACTTCCGTGGGGAGGGACCCAGCCAGTCTCTCAGTGGCAGGGGCCCTTGGCCCACCCTGGATGTGATTGAGGGGAGGAGCAGGGTCATGGAGCCCACACCACATCCATAAATGGATCTTCTCTTTGATCACAGTAGCCTCAGGGGTCCATATATTCTCGGAATGACCAGAAGACCACAAACTACAGCTCAAATAACAGAGTTGAAGTTTGGCAAGTGTCATCCACTGGAAGACAAGTGGCTTCGCCAAGCATAATTTGGGTTTCTAGTTTCTCAGCTGCAGATTTCCCCAGGACTCCCCTGGCTTGGCCAGTGTGAGGGAGCAGTGAATGTTTGCTTGCCTAGCCGTGTTCCCTGAATGCCCAGGGCCTTAGAAATATCTTTCTCAGGGCATTCGTGGTGGGCGTCAGTCCTCAGATGCTGCTGTTTTCTGTGAGTTCAGTGGGTGCTGCCTTAGCTCCTGGGTTCCATGCCGGTGTCTGTTACTCTGCCTGCTTATTTTAAAGCCATTCTCTGAAGGTCACTGCCTCCTTGCCTGTCCCTCATCTCTTGTGCGGGATGCACTGCTCAGGCTTCCTGCTGCCTTCTCTCAGAGGTAACAGTCATATTTTCCCTTTACACCAGCAGTTAAAAATTTTTTCAACTCCACTGAGACTAGACTTAACCATCTCCACTGAAATACCTTCAAAAGTTGCTCTAGGGACCAGATCACGATAGCGTTGAAAACCGTCTTTTGCTCAGAACATGTCTTTTGCTCCTGTCCCACCTCAAGTAAGTCTTATGCCAGCTGTCCAACCCTCTCTTCTCAGATTGGAATAACAGTTTTAGCTCTTTTGTTGGAGTTTCCCAGTATTCCATGAGCCTGTGAACCCAATCTCCTTTTCCCTCTGGGAGGCTTAAGGGAACCTTATGAAAATAGGTCCCTGAGCGACATGCTCAAATACTCCACATTTCAACATTCTAGCAATGCTCCTAACCAGTTCTTGCAGAAATATATTTTGTTTGCTCTAGACTGAACTATACAATCCCCTTCCTATAGTGTGGTGGGCTGATCTGAAAATCTCACTAATTGACTGATTTATATATTTAATGAATATTTATTTGGGTGCTTGCTATTTGCCAGTAACTGTTCTTGACACTGGGAATTCTAAAATAACCAAAATGTACAAAGTCTCTACTGTTATAGAACTTACAGTCTAATGAAGGAGAGATAGCAAATAAATGGGTATATGATGTCAGTCAGAAATGCTGTGAAGAGAAACTAAGCCAGCTAGGTGGATAGAGAGCAATCCTGCGTTTCATGGGAGAGCAAAGAAGGTGGCAGCTAAGCAGAGACCACAGTGAGATGAGAGGGTGAGGACGCACGTGTCTGGGGAAGAACGTGCTAGCAGAGGCGTGGCAGGAGAAAAGACCACGGGTGGCAGCAGCTCAGCCTTTTCTAGGAAAAGCAAAGAGGCCAGTGTGACTGGAGCAGAACGAGTAAGAGATTCAAGTGAGAAATGAGGCCAGAGCTCTTGCAGGGGCCAGCTCAGGGAGGACCTTGAGATGCAGTAAGGGGTTTGACTTTTACTCAGACGAATTTTGTTCACAGTATATTGGAAAGCCATTAGGAGATTCTGACCAGGGAGCTAACATGAGAGGACATCCTTTTAACGGATCACTCTGTCAATGTAGAATGTCAATGAGACCTAGAATGTCAAGAGACCTAGAGGCAGGGAGACCAGGGTTATTTTTTTTTTCCATTTATTTTTATTAGTTGGAGGCTAATTACTTCACAACATTGCAGTGGGTTTTGTCATACATTGACATGAATCAGCCATGGAGTTACATGTATTCCCCATCCTGATCCCCCCTCCCACCTCCCTCTCCACCCGATTCCTCTGGGTCTTCCCAGTGCACCAGGCCCGAGCACTTGTCTCATGCATCCCACCTGGGCTGGTGATCTGTTTCACTATAGATAATATACATGCTGTTCTCTCGAAACATCCCACCCTCGCCTTCTCCCACAGAGTCCAAAAGTCTGTTCTGTACATCTGTGTCTCTTTTTCTGTTTTGCATATAGGGTTATCATTACCATCTTTCTAAATTCCATATATATGTGTTAGTATGCTGTAATGTTCTTTATCTTTCTGGCTTACTTCACTCTGTATAATGGGCTCCAGTTTCATCCAGTTCATTAGAACTGATTCAAATGAATTCTTTTTAACGGCTGAGTAATATTCCATGGTGGAGACCAGGGTTATTACAGCAGTGCAAGTGGGAGGTGATGTGTGGGTGGTCTAGCCTAGACTCGTGCTTTTCAACATAGGGCAATTTTGCCCCCCAGGGAACATTTGTCGCTATCTGGGGACATTATTTTTTTTTATTATTTTTATTTATTTAATGGATTTATTTGGCTGCACCACATCTTAGTTGTGGCATATGGGATCTTAGTTCCCTGACTAGGGATTGAACCCAGGCCCCCTGCATTGGGAGTATGGAGTCTTAGCCACTGGACCACCAGGGAAGTCCCTCTGGGGACATTTTTGGTTTTCCCAACTGGGGTTTGTGGTGCTGCTGGCATCTAATGGTAGAGAACAAGGGCACTGCTAACCACTGCATGACTTGCAGGACAGTCCCCACAACGAAGAACCATCCAGCCCAAAAGGTCAGTAGTGCGGAGGCTGAGAAACACTGGTTGAGAATGGTTCTGGGGAAAGAGTGAGAAGTGCTGAGATTTGAGCCGTATCTTGGAAGTAGAGCCAACAACATTTTACGATTGTTTTAATGTATGGCATCCTGGCTGATGGTACCTGAGCATCAGTTCTGACCTGAGTGACTGCGTGCATGAAGGTACCGTCTCCTGAGAACGGGCAACACTGAGGGTTGGGGCTATGGCACGGATTAAGGAATCTGGTTTTGAATATATTAAGTTGGAGGTGCCAATAAATCATCTAAGTCAGGAGACAGCAAACTTTTTCTGTAAAGAGCTAGAGGATAAATATTTTTCATTTGTTGGCCATGTGATCTCTGTTGTATTTAACTCTCCTACTTTAGCATGAAAATAGCCACAGACCATCTGGAGACAAATTAGCGTGTATGTATTTCAAGAAGACTTTATTTATGGACACTTGTATATGCCTAATAGGATACACCCTAAGGACAAAAAAGAATTTCAAAAAATTTTAAATTGTTTTCAATAATCCTACAACTGGTGGTAGTGCTGGTATTGTCATTGTCATACTGAGACTGTTGCATGTGTTGTGAAATAAAGCAAATGAGTTATTAAGTTGGAGGGATTGGGGAACAGGATTTTTAGCATAGGAAAAGGAAGATAAAGATACAAGATCAGTGAATTCAAGGGAAAAATTGAAGTTCTGAATTAGAAATACCACTAAGAATTCATGACATATTTTCTCTTGAAATAAAGTTTTCTCTAGGTCTGTCTTCTGGAAAGGTTTGCAATGAGCACCCTAACTTCTAAATTTTGGATACTAGATACCATTACTCAATAAAAGAAATCAGGATTTCTTGAAGAAATGGCAGATTCCAGATCTGGGGCAGGAAGTATATAGGTCATTGAGACATCTCATATCAGAAAGCAGAGGAAGTTCTTCAAGGTTTCTGGGATCATGTCAAAAGGACTCAGCTACCAAACTGAAGAAAGCACCACTGGATAAAGATGGGCCATCAGTAAGAATAATAACTGCAGTATTATATATCAAACTTATCTGTAGATTCATAAGTCCTTAAAGATACTAAACAAACAAATAAAATCCCTCATTGGTTAAGAAGATACTGGAGATGCAACATACACACACACACACACACACACACACACACACATATAGCATATATATAAATTTTTAAAATTTATTTGGTCACGTGGCATGTGGGATATTAGTTCCCCAACCAGGGATTGAACCTCCACCCCCTACATTGGAAGCATGGAGTCAACCACTGGACTGCCAGGGAAGTCTACGATCAATATTTTTAAGCTGGTAAATAAAGGGAAAGAATCAAGCACATATCTATCCAACCTTCCCTGTACAAACTGTACTATAGGGTAACCAAGTAGTTAATGATGGGGAAGTTTTCCTCTTTTAAAAGCATTTTAAATAAAAAGTGAAACAAGAATGATGGAAATAAAATATCACCATTTCACAAACCCTAATGGGCTAATGGATCTAGGCAATGATCACTGATGCCTATTAACAGCACAAAGAGAGAAGCAACCAGATGCTTGTGCCTCCTATTGGAAATGCACATCCCTACAAATGACTGTTTCTGAAAAAGTTCAGACCTGAATCTGATTAAGCCTCTGTGTTCAATTACCAATTTATAGAAAACACTGAAACCAAATAACATATTAAATGAACCATGGAGATGTGGTCAGCAAATTCTAGACTTTAGAAAACTATAGGACAAATGAAGTTGCGAGGGAAAAAGTGTTTAATTACAAAGAAAAATTAGAAAGAGAGGGCAGAATCTACATATTAAAGGAAACTTAAAAGACATGGCAACCAATTATAATGGATGGAATTTATTTGGGCCCTAGTTCAAACAAACTAGATAGAGAGAGGTAGACGGAGAGAAAAAACATGAATATGGAGGAAATGTGAGTCTTAATTAGATATTTAATTATATTAAGTGATTATCTTTTAAACTTTTATATAGACTAATGAGACTATGGTTATGTTTCTTTAAAAGAAGTCTTATCTTTTAATGATACATACTGAAATATTTATAGAATGAAATGATACCATGTCTGTAGTTTGCTTCATTAGGAGAGAATGGAGAGTGCAGATGAGGCAAGATTGATCACTGTTAAAACTGGAAGATGGGTGCATGGGTTTGTTGTACTCTTCTCTCTACTTTTATATATATTTGAAATTTCCATAATGAGAACCTTTTTTCAAAGCAGGTCTCGGCTCAATTTTTTTCACCTTTGTAATTCTTTCCTTCTATATTTTGAGAATTGACTCATCTGTGTGGCCACATGGAACTTAGCACATACACTGTTTTCAATGCCCTACAAAAACCCATTAATTTACAGAGCTGATTTGCTTTTTTATTTAAAAGTTGTATGGCTCTTGTTGGTTCCTGATAATGCTAAGAAGTGATGAATGCTTGCTCTTCAGGCTCTGGGATCTCCAACTATGCGAAAAACCCCCAAGATGCCCCCAAAGCCTTTGAGGATTGCATGCAAAAAGTCAAGGGGCACATTCCAGTCCATCTCCATGAGTCCACCTGCGTTTACCTGGGGGCCACAGCTGGGATGCGATTACTGAGGTAAGAGCTCGAATGGCCCAGAGAAGCCCGTTGGACCAACACAGCCAGGAATGTGTCGAATCTTTCCAAGAATATAACTATTTCTGGGAAAGAAGCCCATATTCTGCCATAAATTTAGGCTTTCAAAGTTGGGAAACTTTTAGTCTTAATACTCAGAAAGAAACAGTTCTATATTTGATTCCCTTCCCCATGGTGATTTTATTGAGAACTCTGAAAAAAAATGAAAGTAACATGAATCTAGTCATGGGATGTACCTCTAGTTTTCTTAAAAAGTAGAAACTGTTTTTGACCTCTGGTATTTTAACACTGGGGTTTCCCTGGTGGCTCAGTGGTAAAGAACCGGCCTGCCAGCGCAGGAGACTCAGGTTTGGTCCCTGATTTGGGAAGGTCCCCTGGAGAAGGGCATAGAAACCCCCTCCAGTATCCTTGCCTGGGAAATTCCATGGACAGAGGAGCATGGCAGGCTACAGTCCATTGGGTCATAGAAGAAGCAAACACAACTGAGTGACTAAAGAACAACTTTAATACCTGTGCACAACCAGTGCCACTAAATGTAAGCCACTATACTCCTAAGCTATTTAGCTTCTACCCATGTACAAAATGTCACCAAAATATCTGCTTTCAAATAATGGGAATTCTGCTCCTCGCCCCAAAGCCTTTGGGGTTACTATAAAAAATAAACATCTCATTTCATTCAATTAAGCAGTTCCTTCTAAATTTTCAGCCATGACTTTTAGCCCCATTGTATTGTTTTTGAATGTCCTTTCTCATTTTTTTTCTCCATGATAATATTTCCTTGACCTTAAAATAAAAACAAAACAAAACAGTTTTTTAAAAACCCATCAAGCTTAAAACTACCAAAATTAAAGGGCGGATGCTGCCCTAAACTTTGAAAATAAGGCTTTCTCCCCAAAAGATGACACTCATTTGGTTGCAAAGTCACTTTGTCTATGATCCTAGGGATGTAAAATTATATGTATTTTCTTTACCACATGCAGAAATTTCAAAGGAACAAACAGAGTCGCTTTCAGATGATCATCAAAAAGATCATGAAGCACTTTCAGTTGGATTGAGCCTTTTCCTTGTAGTTTTCCTCTCATTTTTTTCTATTCCTATGTCCTGGTTGATCAAGTAGAATGTAGAAGGAAGTCAGATTTCTTTGTTTACTCTTGGATTCTGCAGTGTGCTTTCAAGATTGCTGTGTTTACTTGAAATAGAAATGATATAGAAATCCCTTCCTTCTGCCTTTTCTTTCTAATGGAAGCAAAGAACTCAACTTTGTCTTGGTTGCTTTTTTCTCCCAGTCCTCTCAGTGAGAAATCATTCAAAGGCTCTGTCATTTATAGCCATGGAAAAAAACATGGAATAGAAAGTTTGCCCCTTAGCGAGAAGGTGAATGTTACATTTGAATAGATTAAATACTGATGCTTCTTTGTGAACTCTTTCACAACCTCTGATGGTGATCCATTTCTTCTGAGGAACTAGTTGATATTTTAATTGCCAGAAAAGTCAAATATAGAAAAAACAATAATTTGAGTCTCTGGGATGGCAACTAATAAAACTAGGAAAATCATTCATTATTTTCCAAGCAGTGATAAATTGCTACTGAACTGGAATGGACTTCAGCTTGTAGCACTGCTCTTTCTTCTTCCTCAGCCAAGAGTGAGCCAGTGCCCCTCGACTTTCTTAACCCACTGATGAAAGGGAAAAGAATGTCCCAAGTGAGCTTTCTTCCATCAAATGGCACAGATGAATGATACAAATATACTATGTCATGGGTGATACGAATGCTATGTCACCACTCCTCCATGGGTCAGCACACTAAAGGATTTCAATTCAGTGACAACCGTGATGGCCATCATATCCCCTCACGCCAAAGCCCTCCCAAAGAGCAAAGCAGGGACAGCGAAAAACCCCTCTTCCTTTCCCCCTCCCTCCTAAGCTCCCCTTCCTTCTGGCCTGATGAGGGTTTCTTTGTGTAGTGCCCCAAGCGAATACTTATGCTACTCCTTATGCCTTCACTAATCTCCTTTTCTCTGCTGATCTGAGACAGAGCAATAGTGATTGAGTAGGAGGCTCTTTAGCTGGTTGCTAGACAGCAGAATAGGAACAGGTAAGGGAGGAGAGAACAAGTGATATTTTTACTGGTAGCTATTCCCCTGCTTGGCAGTTTGACAGGTAACAAGTGCAGCCTGCCTTCATGGTTGCCTGGAAGGCTTCAATTTGCAGAGGGGGTTCCTGTGTCTTACCTACATCTGGAAAATGGTCCCTGCCTGAGGGAGTGGGGAGGTTATTTTAAGATTGTTGTCTGGGCACTCAACCTTTTGTGTTCTGTGCCTTGAATAGGTTGCAAAACGAAACAGCAGCTAATGAAGTCCTTGAGAGCATTGAAAACTACTTCGAGTCTCAGCCCTTTGATTTTAGGGATGCTCAAATCATTTCTGGGCAAGAGGAAGGGATATATGGATGGATTACAGCCAACTATTTAATGGGAAATTTCCTGGAGGTGTGTGAAAACAAATGCATGGTTTTTAATCTTGCTGTTTATTCTGTCCCCTGGGATTGGGAGCTTAAGCAGAGGTGCATGCTGACAGGGCCATCTGTCCTGCATCATTTCTATCATGTAATGCATTAGGGAAACACCAGTGATAAAACAGCCAAGACAAGACATGTATAGCTGGGAAAAAGCCTTGGATCCTAAATAAGACAAATGCATGCGGTGGGGGTGGGGAGGATATCATTTTACCAACTAACAAGAAATTTGAGGGGGGGAGGGAGGATCTAAATCTTGCAGTGGGCCATGAGTCTTTTGAAATCCAACTAGAGAAGGACCCTTCCAAGAAGTCCTGTAGCCGTCAGGAATTTACAGAGCCCTCAGGCCGCCTCTTCTCACTCACTGGTGTCCTCAGGTCTCCTCACACTCCAGGCTCCACACTCCCTGCTCCTTTGGTGCAGAGGAAAGCTGCCTCTGAAAGATAGTCACCAGGTCACAGAGGGTGTAAACTGAGGATACCCCTACCATGTCCAGTCTAAGACCTGTTTTCTTCCTCCTTGAATATATTTTTAGTTAATTAATTTAGTTAATATTTTGGAAAATTCACGTAGAAATCCACAATTCTAGCTTCTTCTGGACTCCCTCACTCCCCAAAAGTTGGCAGAGCTGGTCACAGTAGACTCACATTCCTGCATGCCAACAACCAACTGGAACAGAGTATATAACTCATGCATTCCCCAGATGGCCACAGTCCTCTCACCATTCCCTGTTGTGTACACCTAATCTACTCACTCATTTATGTTGCCTGTCCAGTCCCTGAAAGCATTTGAGTTCACCACCCGTTAAACTAAGGAGAGATTTGGCCCTGAATGCACCCTATGTCATACTTCTTAGCAATAAGAGATGGATCCTGGGAGATGAACCCTGGCCAGTCAGAGATGGCACCTTTGGTCTTTTTTCTTGCTTCTTTTTCCAACTGTGTAGAAGAGCCTGTGGCATATGTGGGTGCATCCGAGTGGAAAGGAGACCACAGGTGCCCTGGATTTGGGTGGTGCCTCCACCCAGATATCCTTCACGGCAGAAGAGAAGGTGGGGCTGAACACCAGCGACATCATGAAGGTGACCTTGTATGGCTATGAATACACACTCTACACACACAGCTTCCAGTGCTATGGCCAAAACGAGGCTGAGAAGAGGTTTCTGGCAACCCTCGTTCAGGTACCTGAGGCAGGGGGCAACAGGTGTTCCCTCGGGGGTCTTGGCTGAGGGGAAGATGCCTTGCCTTCTGGGGTCTGTCCTTTCCACTCCAATTAGAAGGTGGATGGAAACAGCAGCATTTTCTTGTTAACTTGTAGGGGTCCGAGCGTTCTCTTTCTCTCTCTCTCTCTCTGATACATTGACCACTTCCAGTGTATTTGAGTCGGAAGTCCAGGGAAATTCCAGAGCCCCAGAGGTTTTATAAATGATTCAGGACTTGGGATCCCTTTATGGATATTAACTGCTTTAAACTAGTAGCTAAAGAAGCTGGACATTGCAGAGACTCCCCTGAGTGCAGACAAAATAATATACCTGGTCACAGGAGAAATTCTTGCTGACAACAGAGAGGGCAGAGGACCTCCTCAGGCTCAGGCTTATTTTAGATGAGCCTGTATTAGGCAGATTTAATCGCTTTAGATGGTGGGATCTTAGAGCAGCCGAATTCCATCACATTGGCCAGTAATTTATATGGTAACTGAATATGATGGCCACTTCAGACATCAGTTAGGCTGCCACTAACATAAAGTTGACATGAGTACCGTTGGTGGCAGCGAGAGCACTCACACCATGGATGTGACCCTGGGCCCCAAACTCCGGTGCTCAGGGGACGTCCATCTCGGCCATGGCTGAAAAGGGAAGGTGAAGATGAAAGGAGAATGTAGGCAGGGAACCTTGATCACCTGGAGGGGCATGAGGCCAACCGGAGGCCACAGATCCTGACTTCTAAGGGGACCCGGGGCAGGGCACAGGGGCTGAGTCAGCCTCTGAATGTAGTGGACACAGCATCAGTAGGTTAACCCCCACCACTGCAGCTTACTCTGGTCATAAGGAAGGATGCAGTATTTCCCAGCCACTAGCTGTAGAAAAATTGGGTTGGTTTACAAAGAGGCATCAGTAGAACTCACATCTTCAGATCCCTGCATTTACTGAGTATTCATGCAGAGTGGATTGTGAGAATTCACCCTCCAGGTCTGGCCCTCTTCCCAAAACTTCTCTTTCAGCCTCACAGGAAAGGCTGGAGCCCCAGCACACATGTATGCCACATGTATTTCGGGGAGAGGCTGGGCGCTCCTGGGAAAGACAGAGCGGGGGCCCTGCCAGCAGCCCTGAGCTACTTCTCCATGGCTCAGGAGACTCGGTGCCCAGGCCAGACTCCCAAATACAACCCCCAACTCGGCCAAACCAAACCCCGCAGGGAGCTTAGTCAACCCTCTCTAACTGGGCTCCTCTTGTCTCTCCCTTTTTATTTCTATCAATACTTAAGGCCCCTTCCTCCAGCTCTGGCCCTAGAAGGGGTGCAGGGTAGGGCAGGGAGGGCAGGGCTCCTCTGAACTTCAGATGGGAGAAGGGAGGCAGGAGAAATCACCCTTTTCCCAGGGTGAATCTAGGTTTGAGAAGCTAACCTATTAAATTTGGCTGGCCATGAGGGGGTGTATATGTATATTTGTGCACACACTCCTACAAGATTTGTTAAAGAATGACTGTCTATGTACCCAACAGTCTACAGTAGAGAAGTGAATACACCACCTGGGTGAGGTCTCATTTGAACTTGAGAATGCAAGTCTCAAGGTGTGAGCCCAGGTCTGGGGGCAGAGGTGGGACACCCCTGCCTCTCATTGTATGTAGTCAACTCACAGGGACAGGGGGCATCTCCAACTTGCCTGATAACATGTGGATGCCTGAGAGAGTGGCTTTGCCCTCTAAGCCTTCTGACTCATGTGTGGGGAAGGATCCAGGTGCAATGAGGATCACCCACAAATGCATGTCCCGACCTGCCTAGCCAATACTTTCATGTTCCAAAGATGTGTTGCCAAGCCCCAACTTAAAGGTTCCCAAAGCTTATTGCGTCATGAACACTGCCTGAGTAATTGCCTCCAGTCCAGGTCTCAGTTCCTGGACTGAAATATAAAGGGCTACAGAGTGTGGTGAGAGTGACACCTAGATATATGAAAAAGTGAAAGTGTTAATTAGTCGTGTCCAACTCTTTGCAACCCCATGGACTGTAGCCTGCCAGGCTCTTCTGTCCATGGAATTCTCCAGGCAAGAATATTGGAGTGGGTTGCCATGTCCTACTCCAGGGGGTCTTTCTGATCCAGAGATCGAACTCAGGTCTCATGCATTGCAGGCGGATTCTTTACCATCTGAGCTACCAATATATACTTTGCAAATTATTTTCTTAATAAGGGGTCTCCAGCGACCCTAAGGCTCAAGTCTCACTCTGATAGCATGTTAGATATTAGGGACATGCATTCACTTTCTCTCCCTTGTTAAGTAAGATTTTTTTCTTCTGGTTTTAAAGTAACACATATTCAGTGGGGAAAAAAAATAGAAAATACAGACATAAAGAATATAAATAATAAACAACAAAACTTGGAATTACCCATCATCAACATATTATTGCATTTTCTTCCAGTTTTTTTTTAAATGCAAGAATATGTGTATTTACAAATTTGGCTTCATATGGTATATATATGGGCTTGCCAAGTGGTGCTAGTGGTAAAGAACCCGCCTGCCAATGCAAGAGACATAAGAGACACAGGTTAGATCTCTGGGTTGGGAAGATTCCCTGGAGGAGGAAATGACAACTCACTCCAGTATTCTTGCCTGGAAAATCCCATGGGTGGAGGAGCCAGGCCAGCTACAGTCCATGGGGGCTGCAAAGGGTCGAACACGACTGAGCACAAGCGCAGGCAGTATTCCAAATACATTATTTAAAAAGAAAAGCTATGTTGGTCATGTAGCTACAAAGGAGAGTACATGGCCCTTTCATGCTAATGCCCTGCAAAGACTAAATTCAGGGAAGATTTATTAAATGGTGAGGGACTAAGTAACTTGGCACATTGGCAAGTTATATTTCAGCAATGCTATAACAAATAATTCATGATCCAAAAAGAGAAATGAATTAATCTTTACCAAGCTTCTTCTAGCCAAAAAATAATTCATATTATTTTGCTTCTTCTCCAAGCCAGGCCAGAAATGATTTATTTTAATTATTTAAAAGTGTAAGTCAGATTTGGAGGGGGAAACTAAATGATTAGTTGTTTGACTTTTTTTTCTTTCAATGATTATTTCGGCCATAGGGTGACCGTGATGTGCTATGTTACAAATCAGACATAACAGCTTTTGAACACCATAGACTTCTTCACACCACTGAAGCAGAAGGGGCCCATTTGCTGCCTCCACAGTCATATTAAGATCTTTCTGTAGGACACTCATATGTTATATCAGATGAGTGTTGGACTTCTGTAGGATTCTGCCTAGAATCCTATGACAGCCTTTCATTAAATGATTACATTATTTTGATGTGTACCTCAGGTTCCTCAGCAGTAAAATGAGAGAGCTGAGCTAAGTGTTTTCTGGGCCAAGATTTTACTATAGAGGATAAAATAGCTTTGAAATTACACAGAGTTCAAATCCAATTCCTTGGGAAAGAGAGCCCATAAATTGAACCAAACACATTTTGGAATTTAGCATTAAATAAAGGGAACATTTTTCAGCACAGATAGAAGACTGGATAATAATCTGGAGAAAGTAAAATCAAATCCCTACCACAATCTTAATACCAAATAAATTACAAACAGATCAAATATTTCTATGTAACAGGGTATTTATTACATCATTGTTTTGTAATGGCACATGACTGGAAACCAGCTCAATATTCCTCTAGATGGGATTCCCTAAATAAAGTACAGTTTATTTGTACAGTGGAGTTCTATGTAGCTAGCATGAAAGAAGCTAGTATAAAAAGAAGAGGTCACTCTTACACCAGGGGCTTCCCTGGTGGTTCAGAGGTTAAAGCGTCTGCTTGCAATGCGGGAGACCTGGTTCGATCCCTGGATCAGGAAGATCCCCTGGAGAGGAAAATGGCAATCCACTCCAGTATCCTTGCCTGGAGAAGCCCATGGACGGAGGAGCCTGGTGGGCTACAGTCCATGGGGTCACAAAGAATCGGACACGACTGAGTGACTTCACTTCACTTCACTCTTACATGGACAATGAAAGGAAAATCTCAAAGATATATTCTTAAGTAAGAGATGCACGGGACAGAACAGTGTGTATAGAGCACTACCATTTATGATTTAAAATTTAAAGAAAGAAAAAGAGGGGAAAAGAAAATGTAATTGCACATGCATAGAAGAAGTATACACAGAATCTCTGTTAGAATACACTACAACTGGCAATAGTGGTTACTTCCAGGGAGGGAACCTCGGTGGATAAAGTGGGTGGGAATGAGCCTTAATTTTGATAATACATTTATTTGTACCTTTTTAATTGTTATTTTTAGATGGATAGATAACATGCTCTTCAAAATGGTCAATTAACCTAAACATATCTTGCTTTCTCATCAAAATGGAGTTCATAAAACCTGCTTCATGGAGCTGTGCTAAGTGCTGGAGCAGAGCCTGGTATTGTGCCTGGTGCAGGGTGACAATCCCCCCCACCCCAAGTAGAGTTATCTAGACAACCTGGGACTTCCCTTCCACTGGACGTATAATGGCCTTTTTTCCATTTCTCTCTTGGCATTGGAGGGGAACAACAGTGAGGACTTACAAAAGGAAAGTATTTGGACCTCCACAAGAGTGATTTCTAACACCTTACTCTTATACCTATAGGATTATACCACTGAAACCACGTTCACCAACCCTTGTTACCCTCAGAATTACACCACCACCTTCACTGAGGCACAGGTGTTTGGCAGCCTGTGTACAGAGAACCTGAGACCTGAAAGATATAATCCCAACAACATCATCACTTTTGAAGGAACTGGGGACCCATCACTGTGTAGGGAAAAGGTGGCTTTCCTATTTAACTTCAGCGCTTGCCGTGATCACGAAGCTTGTTCCTTTGATGGGGTGTATCAGCCAAGAGTTAAAGGGTCATTTGTGGTAAGAGCAAAACAACAGAGATTCCTTTTCCCCCTACTGATTATTTCTCACCTTCCTGTTTTTCCTTTGCTGAGGTGTTTCCCACTTTCTTTTTCCCTGCCCTGAAACCTCCATTATATTGCATTCTGTACAACTTCCTTACAGGCTTTTGCAGGATTCTACTACACAGCCAATGCTTTCAACCTTTCGGGTAGCTTTTCTCTGCACACCTTCAACTTGAGCACCTGGAATTTCTGCTCAAAGAATTGGAATCAGGTCAGTATTTAAAGAAAAAGGATCCATATTGGTACAAAACAGTACAGCAGGGTAGATTTCATTTGCGCCTGTGTGTGTGCATGTGTGTGTACGTGTGTGTATGTATGTTCTGAATTTGACTTTTATCCTGTTCTCCTTCACCACATCTGTAAGATGGGGGTAATAAGGAGCCCGACCTCATAGCTATGTTGTGGATTAAATGTTCTATTCATGGGCACAATGTTTATAACAGTGTCTGGCATGTAACAAGCACTCTATAAAGTTAAGATTGCTCTTCCATGATATTGTATGCATTTTAAGTCGCTTCAGTCCAACTCTTTGTGACCCTATGAACTGTAGCCCACCAGGCTCCTCTGTCCATGGAATTCTCCAGGCAAGAATACTAGAGTGGGTTGCCATTTCCTTCTCCAGGGGATCTTCCCAAGCCAGGGATTGAACCTGCATCTGTTACGTCTCCTGCATTGGCAGGCGGGTTGTTTACCAGTCGGTTATGTTGTAAAGGGATTTTTTTTAAATATAGGAGATATGGTGTATATATACAATGGAATATCACTCAGCCATTAAGAATGAAATTGTGCCATTTGCAGCAACATGAGTGGACCTGGAGGGTATTATGCTTAGTGAAGTAAGTCAGACGGAGGAAGACAGATTCTGTATTTTATCACGTATATGTGGAATCTAATGAAACAAATGAACATAAAATATGGATTTTTTGTCATTGTGTTATTTTATAGTAATTTTAATGATTAAATTCTCTGGGTGATAAAATTCTTTAAAATATGACTGCTGACCTAAGCTGTTCTGAAATGCCCATTTTAAAACCTGCCTCCTCCCTGTTTTGAACTTGTCTTCAGCTCCCACTGCTGCTGCCCCGGTTTGATGAGCAGTATGCACGCTCCTACTGCTTCTCGGCCCACTATATCTACCATTTGCTTCTAAGTGGATACAAATTCACCGAGGAGAGCTGGCCCCAAATACATTTTAAAAAGGAAGTAAGTCAAAGTACAAATTGTTTTCCTCTTCTTCCTCTCAAAATAGATGTTTGTTTGTGTGTGTGTGAAAGAAATGTAGGAGATAAGTGGGAATTGGGGATTTAAACTTGCTGAATGGGAGTCAATGAGGCTTGATCCCTGGTGAGCTTATGAGAAGAGATAATGGAGAATTTAGAGGAAGTGGTCATCAGAAACCTTCTATGTGAGCTAAGGAAGCCAAGAACTGTGGACTCTAAGCTCTGTCGGGGCAGAACTTGCTTTATCATCCTCATATTGCTAGCACTCACACAAGACTGAGAACATAGGAGGCTCTTAGTAAATATTGTTGAGTGAATCCATAAATATGTTAAGGAACTGAGACTTTTAATCCTGACAAGAAGCTTCAGATACAACAGTTTTGTTAAGAGAATAGTAACTAACTGATCTCCATTTTACACAGATGTCAGAAGGAGATCTATTCTTTAGAGCACAGGGATTAAGTAAGCAGCGTTAAATAAGAATTTGATCTTGGAATGAGTCTGAGGTCACCGTATTCACTTTCAAGTGTCCAGAATGGTCTGACGCTGGAGTGACAGCTGACTGTTTGGTGAGGCGCCTCTGTACTTTGCTTCCAGGACTCAGCCTTGCTGTTACAGTGATCCAGCACTCTGTTCCCTGGCTTCTTGGAGGGTTTTCTCATTTCAGGAATAGCAGATGTAAAGCCTGAAGTATGTCTGGAGTCAGTCTGTTCAATATGAGCTTCAGCAGTAATTAGATTACAGCAAGCAATATCCAGTATTAGGCTTGTGACTGTTTTACATGGATAAAATTGAGTTGGCTGTAAAAAATAAGGCTGTCTGGAGACAGATAAGGACTGCTGGTGGCATGTCCGCTCCAAGCTTTGTTTCTAACTAATCTAATTACCAGGAAAGCACATTATGATTTTCCATTAAATATCAATTCGGNGAATACATAATTCTAGGTTTCAAGTTCCTTTCTTTTTTTTATAAAGAATTTAATATCAGCCAAATCAGTACTCAAATGTGAGGATGTAAAAAGACTTCAGGAGATTTGCCAAACAAAGATTGATATCCAAAATATTTGGGGGGTTTCCCTGGTGGCTCAGTAGCTGAGAACCCACCTGCCAGCGCAGGGGACACGGGCTCAGCCCCTGGTCTGGGAAGATTCCCCACGCCAGGGGGCAGCTAAGTCCGTGCGCCACAACCACTGAGGCTGTGCACCTTCGAGTCTGTGCTCCGCAACAAGAGAAGACGGCACAGCGAGAGAGAGAGGACGGAAGGTTACAAGTGTGAAACATTCATACATCTACCAAAATGGCCTAAAAACATGCCAACAAAAACTGATGGAGCCATCAGATGAAACTGACACAGTCTGCTTCCCACTTAGACTGACCTTTTTTCCTTAGAAACTGGTCCTGGGTTCAGTAAAACATGCATCACCTCTTTTTTAGCTAGAGACACTTTTGTACCCAGTGACAGAAAAACTTCCACTGTTGTTAACTGTGCCCTCTTCACACTGGCTGTGACAAGGCTGTGAGGATTAGTTCTCTGCAGTGTGGGAGGTTGGACACTCGAGCCTTTGTGGTCATCATGACCAGGGTTCTAGCCCAGTCTCTGCAGTTTCTGAACTTAGGCAAGTCCTTTGACCTCCTCAGGCCACAGTTCCTGGGGGTGTCTCAGGAGGGTGACCATGGTGTGTCCTGGGGATATAATCTGTGCCTCAAGCCCAGTCCTGAGAACTGAGCCGTCTCCTCTACTCCTCAGGTGGGGAATAGCAGCATAGCCTGGTCTCTCGGCTACATGCTCAGCCTGACCAACCAGATCCCAGCCGAAAGCCCCCTCATCCGCCTGCCCATCGAGCCATCTGCCTTCGTGGGCACCCTCGCCTTCTTTGCGGCAGTGGCCTTGCTGTGTCTGACGTATCTCGTGTACTTGTGTGTGTTGTCCAGGAATCAGAGGCGCTCCCAGCATGCCTTGGACAACATGGTGGACTCTGAGTGAGCCTCACAGAGTGGTTCCTGGAGCCTGAGAGCTGCCCATAACCAGCTTGGGGGGCACCAGACAATGCAAGCAAAATGTCCATCTTCAGGAAACACAGCTAAAGTCCAATGCCTAGGTCCTGTGCCTCTCAGATACTGATTTATGTCAGAACACCTCTTGGGAAGTCCCTCAGCTGTTCTGTGCACATTTCTCTGCCAGAGACCCCGCCACCCACTAGCTGACCTACTGGGGAACAGGGAGAGACAGGCCATCAAGGTCAGCATCCTTATTCCAAGTGTCCCACAGGAAGAGTAAGTTGAGAAGATGACAGATGAATGTGGAAGAGTTGACCTCAGGGCTCAGTTTGCATTTTCCCTCCTTCAAAAATGTCATAAGTCCTCCCAGTAGGATTGGAAACTGGCAGGTGTCTAGTAAGCATCTGGTCCAATCAAATATCTCATTTTATGGCTTCCTCTCATTGGTCCTTAACTAAGAATTTCCTTAACAACTGTTAATAACATTGTGCTCCCTCAGCTTGGCAGAATATTGTATCTGGGGGAAAATCCTCCTCCACCCCCAAGGACAGTGGCCACAGCCAAGCTTCTGTCACGCAAGCAGAACCTGAAGGGCAGAGCCACACAGAATATTTACCAGAACACTACAGGCCATTCCTGAAGTAGGATTCCCTCTCAGGGCTCTGGTCATTAGATCGCCACTTGTGTGTGTATCATCCTCGTTGCCTCCCCTTCCCACTGCTGTGTGCCCTTGTAAAATGTTTATCCCTGGCAAGGCTCTCACGCTCCAGATCATTTTGCCTTTGCTAGGCTTTTGCTTAGGGTTGTCTTTCCATCATTAGCACCCTGTGTATATTTCACCCACCTGTGGGAATCACAGGTCCACCTGATGCTGTCACAGGACATCTTCTCTGATTTGCTTACCAGTCACTTTCCTAGACGGTATGCCTTTGCACAGTAGCCATAGTTCCTGACTTTGAGGGGGGAAAGGAAGCTGCAGGGATATTTAACTCCAAAGTGGGAGGGGACTCTAGCAAGTCCAATGGCTACAAAGTAAAACTCAACATTCTCTCAGATTATAGCTCGTTCACTGAGTACAGAATAAAGGAGACTTATTTTATTGTGACTTGCTGTGTGTGTGTGTTACTGTGCATGTGGTACTCTTTCTCCTAAGGACCCAAGGTGGCATCTATGAAAAGAAGCTAAACAACTAAAAGAAGTTTCTTGAGCAAACTTTCCTAGTATATTAAGAAAGTCATGCATCAATATCACCTTTATTCCAGAGAGTTCAAAGTATTTCACTTTAATAAACCTTTGGTTCCTTGAGATAACTGAGTCCAACATTTCCTTACCTTATCTGACATTGCAAAGCTTCTGTGAGGCTACAACCTGCCACTCACCTCTTGATTCCAAACCAGAATGTCTGCTCCCATCCCAAAGTGCACCACTGTTCAGTTTTCACTACCTAGACTGAGTTATCCTCCCACTCATCCAAACCACCATATTTCTCAAGGTTCAATCCCAGCTCTACTTCTTTCACAAAATATTCCTTGCACACACTCATGCACGTGTACATACACACATCATGATCTATCTCTTGGACTACTTTTTTAAAACTATTTTTAAAATAAATTTTCATATTGTTGCTAATCATGTAACTGGACTACAAAATTCTAATCTAATCTCAATTCACAATTTCCATGACTTCTTTAAAGGCAGAGTGTTTTCTCCAGGCTTCCCTGATAGTTTAGTTAGTAAAGAATCCACCTGCAATGCAGGAGACCCCACTTCATTCCTGGGTTGGAAAGATCCGCTGGAGAAGGGATAGGCTACCCCCTCCACTATTCCTGGGCTTTCCTGGTGACTCTGATGGTAAAGAATCCTCCTGCAATGTGGGATATCTGGGTTCGATCCCTGGGTTGGCAAGATCCCCTGGAGAAGGGAAAGGCTACCCACTTCGTACTCTGGCCTGGAGAATTCCATGGACAGTATAGTCCATGGGGTCACAAAGAGCTGGACATAAGTTAGCAACTTTCACTTCCATTTTCATTTTCTGCAGGAAAGAAAGTCATATTCAAAGCATTAGGAGGATTTGACTGTTGCTAACTTAAAGATGGAGAAGGCTAGGTGGAAAGGGACTTAGGGCAGCCCCTAGGAACTAAGAGTAACCCCTGGCTGACAGCCAGCATGGAAGAAGGACCTCAGTCCTACAACTGCAAGGAGTTGAGTTCAGCCACCAGCCTAAGTGAACTTGGAGGCAGACCTCCCCAGAGCCTCCAATCATTTCAGCCTTGTGAGTCTCTAAGCAGAGAACCCACCCAGACTTCTGACCTCCAGAACTGCGAGGTCAGAAACGGGTGCTGTTATAGGGCACTGAGTGTATGGCTACTTGTTACACAGCCATAAAAAATTAACACAACTACAGAACTCCAGGCCCCTAAGCTACAAACAGGGCAAGTGCTTACATGTGAAATATGTACTGATGATAAATCACTAACTACGATTAGGTGTCACAAATTATGCCTACTCCTTATAATAACCATGCAAGAAAAACATGGGCTCAAAGGTAAAAAAACATACAAGCATCACCAGCTAGTAAGTATTTCTGGAGATAGAGACTGTGAGTTGAGAGTCTGGTTAAGTCTAAAATACATTTGGAAAAAAACAAATAAATTTAAAAAAAATATTAGGGAATTCCCTGGATGCCCAGTGGTTAGGACTCCACACTTTGACTGCAAGGAAATCACATTATGTCCATCATATTTCCCTTCACAAAGTCAATATCATGACAGTTAGGCATCTGATTTTAGAATTTTGTAGTTCAACATACTTATTCATATATAGTTGCATGATTTATGACAGAGGTGTCTCATCAGAGCAATAGTGAAAAATGTGGGACAACTGGATTTCCACATGGAGAAATAAAGGAAATTCAACCCTTCCTCTCACATTTTCAACAATCATTCCCAGGGACTTTCCTCGTGGTCCAGGGGGTAAGACTCTGCCTTGCAATGCAGGGACACGGGTTCAATCCCTGGCTGGGGAACTGAGATGCCACATGCTGCAGAGCAAGTAAGCTGACACGTCACAACCAGTGAGTCTGTGAGCCTCAGCAAAAGACCCTGCATGACACAAAGATGATCCCGTGCGCCGAAAGTAAGACCCGACGCAGCCAAGTAAACAAATAAGGATTTGAAAAACATCATCCCCAGGTAGTAAGTGTGAAAGATAAGCCTACAAAAGCTTTAGAATAGAATGTAGGGTGGAAAATGTAAGATCTTGAATAAGGAAAGGGTTTCTTAAACACTACACAAAAAGCATTAACCATAAAAGAATACTGGATATGATGGATCACATTAGATTAAGAACTTCTACTCATCAAGAAACAGCATTAAGAGTGAAAAAACAAGCCATAGAATGGGAAGAGGTATCTGCAAAGTATATAGCTGATTAACTGTATGAAGAACCACAAATCAGTGAGAAGAAGGCAGATGACCCAGTTTTTCTCAGTGGGCAAAAGGTTTGAAAAGACATTTTACAAAAGAAGAAATCTAAATGTCCAATAAATATAAAAAGGTGCTCAATTTCATCAAATAGGTCAGGGCAATGCAAATTAAAACTACAAGATAGCACAATATACCCATTATTCTGGCAAATTTAAAAGTCTGACAAACCAAGTGTTAATGAAAGTATAGAAAAATGGAATTCTCATTCACTGCTGGTGGGAATGTAAGTCAGTGCAACCACTCTGGGAACCTGTGCTATTATCTAATAATGCTGAAGACATGCATACCAGATGGCCGGAAAATTCCAGGCCAAGGTATATATCTTTGAGATAAGTGTTCTAATGTATATCAGGATACATGCCTAGGAATGTTCTTACCAGCAACCAAGACTCCCATCTCATAAAATGGAAGAATAAATAGTAACATGTTGGTACTAGAAAATACCATATAGCATTAAAACAAAAGAACCACAAATATATACTCAATATGGATGGATCTTACAAATATAATGTTAAGGTTAAAAAACAAGTCATTAGGTAGGTAGATAGAATAATTCCATTAATATACAGCTCAAAAACAGGTAAAACTAAACAAAGAAAGTAAAACTGGTACCTTTTGTATGGAGAGAGATAAACAGATATTTCAGTCTGCTAGGGCTACCACGATAAACTACCACAGGCTGGGTGGCTTAAACAACAGAAGTTTATCTTCTCACTCTCTGGAAGCGAAGAAGCTCGAGATTAAAGTGCTGTCAGTTCAACGCCTGGTGCGAGTTCTCCGCTTTATAGATGGCTACCCTCTCACTGACCTTGCCTCTGTGCTTAATACACAAAGGGAGAGTGAGCTCTCTTTATAATCATCTCATCATGATTAGTGAACGCCCCTCATAACCTCATCTAACCCTAATTACCTCCCAAAGGTCCCACACCCAACACCACCACATTGGGGTTTATGGTTTCAACATAGGACTACTGGGGGCACACAAGCAGACAGTTCATAAAAACAGGACTTATGGAGTGACAGTTCAGTTCAGTTCAGTTCAGTCAGTCGTGTCTGACTCTTTGCGACCCCGTGGACTGCAGCATGCCAGGCTTCCCTGTCCATCACTGACTCNTCTCGATTCCAGCTTGTGCTTCTTCCAGCCCAGCGTTTCTCATGATGTACTCTGCACATAAGTTAAATAAGCAGGGTAACAATATACAGCCTTGACGTACTCCTTTCCTAATTTGGAAGCAGTCTGTTGATCCATGTCTGACAGTGAGGTTCTACAAATGGGTAGTAGTTACAGGTATTCCCCTTTTCAACCATTCATACACTTTCTGTACGTCCTACATGACATTTAAAAATAAAATTATAGATCTGGGCTAACTCAGGATTTGCTATCTCTATGATGTTCACAAAGTCTTTCACTCTCTTTGACCATTAGATTTTCTCATGTATAAAATGGAGATAATATCTGCCTCCTGTTAAAAATTTTAAAAAGAGCAAATGTAGCACTCAGCTAGTACCTGGCACAGAGTATAGCCAATGAATAAAAGTATAAAAAAGTATTTCCTTCACCCATTTATTTATTCACTTATCATACATTTACCAAGGGCTTTCCAGGTGACTCAGTGGTAAAAGAATCTACCTGTCAATGCAGGAGATGCAGGAGACTCAGGAGACATCGGTTTTATACCTGGGTCGGGAAAATTCCCTGAAGAAGAAAACGGCAACTTACTCCAGTATTCTTGCCTGGAGAATCCCATAGACAGAGAAGCCTGACAGGCCACAGTCCCCTGGGTCGCAAAGAGTCAGACATGACTGAGCACGCTCGCACTAACATTTTCCAAAAGTCTATCAGGTGCTAAATCACTCACTGAGCTTAAAGACTAAGGTTGGAAGAGAAAATTTTCCTCTTGAAACATATGAGACACTAATGCCCCCTACTGGAGCTATGGAGAAAACTCTTCCTGGTTATGTACTTTTTTTCTCCCTAATTATAGATGCTGAAAAAAAATTAAGAGTTCAAATATATTTTTAATTTTATAAAATAATGAGACAATTGGAAATTAAAACATTTGGTAATATCAAGGAATTTCTGTTAATTTTTGTTTAGGTGAGACAATGGTATTGTGGATTTCTTTTTCAAAAATAATCCTTACTGTTTACCTACCACCTATGAAAATAAAAACAAAAATAAAAAAATGGGACCGAATCAAACTTAAAATCTTTTGCATGGCAAAGGAAATCATAAATGAATGAAAAGACAACCCTCAGAATTGGAGAAAATATTTGCCAATGAAACAACTGACAAGAGATTTATATACAAACAGCTCAAGCAGCTCAGTATTTAAAAATGGGTGAAAGACTTAAATAGACATTTCATCAAAGAAGATATACAGATGGCCAACAAACACATGAAAAGATACTCAACATCACTAATTACTACCAAAATGCAAACCAAAACTACAGTGAAAAAAGAAACTGCAAGAAGTATCACCTCACACCAGTCAGAATGGCCATCATCAAAAAAAAAATCTACAAACAATAAATGTTGGAGAGGGTGTGAAGAAAAGGGAACCCTCTTGCTTTGTTGGGAATGTAAATTGATAAAGTCACTATGGAAAAGAGT